GATGAAGAAAGAACTGAAATGAAGCGCAATTGTTTGGAAAATGCATGAGCAATGGAATTATAGAAGATACAGTGAAGATTGAAACGATTGGTTGTTAGTTTGCAAATTGACTGTTCATTGTTTGGTTATCAGAATTTACTGAGATAGTCTGTAATCTTTGCTTAAATACATTCGATTGTCCCCAACTAGTGTTCTGTTCACTACAATATAACTTCTTCACACAAATCAAATTAACCGTTTGTTAAATCTGTACCAATTTATGGACATATTTTTATCTTTCATAAACTTTAATTCATTATCATAAAAGAGAAAAATCCTCCCCCTTTATCAATTCCATGGTTACGGAAAAAATATTAGTAAATTTGAAAAAAACTTAGTTTAAATTAACTGAATTAGTCAATGGATTCTATATTTATTTATTTTACTTATTTAAACACATAAACATCGGTGGAAAGGGGCACCGAATACATATGTGTGACACAAGTCAGTTGAGGCTGTGATACTGCACGGGTGCCAAGATCGAAGCAGGTGGTTTTCTGAGGGGGCCACATCCAAAGCCGTCGGCCTTAAGGTCTGATCTACAAGCCAGTGGAGCAACCTAAGCAGATACAGTGCTATGGTAACTGGTGACCAAAAATTGGTTCAAAAGTCATGTGTTTCCTCGAGATGCAGTAGCCCATAAGGAGCATTGGTTTGGAATAAAGGTTTTCCAACCCACCTACGTGAATCCTTCATATCCACCAACTCGGTTAAAGCGCCGAATATTGGCTTATCATCTTTTCAATTTTGTAGACAACAGCAATTTCGCGAGAAGGCAGTAAGTAGGACTTCCCTATCAGTGGCTGTATAGTCGGGGCCATGTGAGAGGGGGAGTTAATTCTCGTCAGTATCGTCTACACCAGGGCATTCAACTCAATCAGATGCTAGTATTCATTCATAGATCAAACATAATTAAATAAAATTGTTTTTATTCATTTTAGTATTGAGTTCTCTGAAACTTTTAACAGTTTAGTGTTTATATTTACTATTTATATTACTGTAACAATCTTTAAAGCTTATCGGTTACATGTTTACTTAGCAGATAAAGATTCATTAAGTTTATTCATTCTTCTTTATATTGAATTAATGTCATAATAATGAATATGAATGATTGGTTACCATGAGGAGGCATTCTTATATCATTATAGCTAGTTATTCATGGTATTAATTTATTTAAAGTATTATACGTTAACTAAATTTCATTGAGTCAGTTTATAATTGTTAGCATCTTTTTAGCAAGGTTGTTTGCTACGGGATGGGGTTGCTGACTTCATTCCCAAACATCCTCCATTACCTCGGTTTAGGAACGTCAGTAACCCTATAATAGCTACAGGCAAACTCTCGATTGAAAATCTCTGGAAGATATGTAAACTGTCACATACCTGAGTAGCATCATCAGTCAACAAGAAGGATCTGATGCAGATATAAATGCAAGGGTTGCAAATGAAGTATTGAATATATGGCTCTCATATTTTACGTTGATTGTCCCTACCTGTGTTCTCGTACATTATAAATTGTAAATAAATCCCACCTACAGATTAACTCAAAGTTTATGACAAATATCAGGAATGATAGTAAAAACTAGTTTTATAAGAAGCTGTATTTCATTCTAGAGAAGGGTCCAAGATCAGACTTATTCACCACAATCAAAACACCAAGGTTGGGATGGGTAACACGTTGTTAAAAGATATAACGCGACATGGATGGGGAAAAAGGAACAAAAATAATGAGATTGACAAATTTATATACTTCCAATAAATGGTTATAAATGGTATCATTTTTTTCACAAGTGTATACACAAAGCTACATAATTTCACCGCACCACACTACAGAGAACCAGATCGGTCATCAATAAAAAAACTCACAACGTCTGTGGAAGACGTGAGAACAAAGAGAGGAGCTACTGTAGCTACAGATCATCACCTGTTAGTGGGTAAATTGAAACTGCAGCTAAAGAATCATTGGTCAATCGAGCTGACAGTATTACAGACGCTTAGTATAGCCCTTTATCGAAATGTTAACAAGCTCATTAACTCCAGGGTAGATTTTAGCAACAAGTTACAAGTCTTATTTGAAATTCATTTCAATTTCTTATGCAAAATAACTGACTGCACTAGTGAACTATCCATTGTTAAATTTCCAACTATTTTAATACACTGAACTAATCAACCGCATTGATTTGTTCAACCAAAAAGAATGCAAAATGGATTCACAATAATTCCCTTGATTTGTTTGTTTGAATCTTCCGATTGATGTTTAGGACTGCCACTGGTCAGTCTCTTATTGGCATATGTGCAAACTGTGAGTATTTCCTCGATGTTGCCTGAAGTCATAAGCATTATAATCAAAGATAAATTGTGGCTAGCTGTGGAATCCAGATTGACGCGCATTTCGTCGTAATTGGGACCCGTCAGCTGGGTGTACCTGCATCCAAGAGTTGTTGTTCACTCTGAGACTGAAACACAGTACCTTCCTCTTCAAACGCCATCGCGTTATCTACTCAGCTATCAAGACTCAGTAGCTGAGTTGATAACGCGATGGCGTTTGAAGCGAACGGTACTGGGTTCGAGTCCCGGAGTGAACATCAACTCTGATGTAGGTACATCCAGCTGAGTCCCGAATAGGACGAAATGCGCGTCAATCTGGATTCCACTGCTTGCCACTATCCATCTTTGATGATAATGCATGTGTACATTTTTATTTTCAAAATTTAATGAATAATACGTATATCATCTTATATGAATGAAAGCGTAAAAGATCTAAAAAAGAAACAGAATTATGCTCGTATTTCGTTCGTTATTAACGAGATTTAATTTATGTAGATTCTACATATAATAAGTAGTATCTTTTGTTTATTAAATTGAAAATTTGAATTTTATGGTTAATTTCTCATCATTCCATGTTCTTAGTGAATAAAAAGAAATTTAGATCAAAACTTATGATCGGATTAAAATTTATATCAACTTATAATGTTAATTTGATTAAGTAAAATCTATCCTTTATGTATAGAATATGGTACTTTGATTTGTTAGATATAACAGATTATTGTAGTTTCAGATGGTATGAATTAGTATTTGATTGGTTTTTTTTGGTGCTAGTTATATTCTATCGTTCGGGACTTGTGACTTCCGAAAGATTTTGGCTTTCATCATGAGGCGCGATAATTCTTTGGAATGGAGATGCTTCGATTCGGAGGAAAGAGTTTAAATTGTTTATTCTGATTAGTGCTTTACAGTGGTTAATTCTCCCCTGAAGCACAGATATAACAAGCTGATTTTCTCATCCATCAAACCGTACACTGGTTTTGGCATATTGCTCGATGGAAATTGCAGGATATGCATTTTCACATAGTCCGATTGTAATGAAGGAAAGTTCCTTCGAGCGAAATTTACGAGCAGTTTTTTCTCATTACCTCCAACTCCATTTACCAATTTGTGTACACTTTCAAGGTATATGCATTGGAAAAACAGAGAGACGAGTTCATGTTCTCATTTCCGAGCACATTCTAAAGAATTTGAGACTAAGAGGCACAACGGCCCTAAACAGTGCAATATCTTGGCACATAACTGACACTGGGCATAGTGCTGACATCTCGCAAGCTTTCAAAACTATTAGCAGACAAAAACCGCGGCTTATCTTCGGTTTGCCGAAGCATCATCAATAAAAAGACTAAACCTGATTTATGTATCCAGAAAGAGACAATAATCAACTACTTTCGTAAACAATTTTTAGTTATTGTTATGATTTTATTAGTGTTTATTTTGTTATGTGATCTTCGCTAAACTAGTTCTTATTTTATTACACCGAAATCAGCCTTTCATTCATAAGGTTTTCATTCACCTAATCCTCTTAACTTATGTAAACTCTTCAAATTCTGTTCAATTATTACATAACACACTTTGTCAATTTCGAATTCCAGTCTTCACAACCTCTAAAATTATCCTATAGTCTACCTTATATGTATCTGAACCTCATATAAGTACTGCTTCACATAAGCGCCATGCTTTTGAATCCCATCTGACCATCCTAATGGCAGATTTAAATGTTAAAGTCGAAATGGACAACAACAATTGATGAACGTGGAGGATCTAAAGCGGACGTAAAGGCGGAGACTGGCACGGCAACGGCAGCATTCACCAAATTGAAGGACATATGGAACTCAAAACAACTGTCCGCAAGATATTATCAAAGTTAGAATCTTTAATACAAACGTCAACACTGTTCTATTGTGCGGAGCTGAAACTTCCAGAACTACTACAACCATCATCAAAAACGTAAGTATTTATAAACAAATGTCAAAGTAAGATACTCAATGTCTGTTCACCAAATACCATCAGCAACAACCTACTGTAGGAGAGAGCAGACCAGCTAGACCACCTAGATCAGAATTTTCAATACAAATGTCAAAACAGTTCTATTGTATGGGGCGGAAACTTGGAGAACTACGAAAGCCATCATCCACAAGATACAGGTGTTTATTAACAGTTGTCTAAGCAAGATACTTCGGATCCGTTGGCCACACACAACCAGCAACAAGTTACTGTGGGAGACAAAAACCAGACTGCATCAGATGAAGAAGTTGGGAAGACGTGCTAGAAGTGGATGGGACACACATTAAAGAAATCAACCAACTCCGTCACAAGGCAAGCCGTCACATGGAATCGTGAAGGCCAAAGAACACATTACGCCGAGAAATGGAGACAGACATGAGAAGAATGAACAAAAACTGGATAGAACTAGAAAGGAAGGTCTAGGACAGAGTATATTGGCAAATGCTGGTGGGGCGGCCTATGCTCCATCATCATTCATTCATAAAAATAAATATGCTTTTTATGATAATAAATTAATAAATGATATTAATATGAATAGTAAGTCAATCTTGTCGTTAAAGTGGAGGAATTCATGACTCAGGAAGAAAACTTCTATTTCATCCGAAACCTCGAAATCTACGGCAAAAACGGTTGGGATCTCATAAATTTTATTGTAAAATTAGAAAAAACAAAAAACCATATGTTACATATTACATTCAGAAAATAAAAAAGAAAAGATAACTGATAAGATGAGATCATTGTAGTTTAAGTGCTCGAATTTCTTTGACGGCGAAATCACGTCTGTGAAATAGATTTAATTAAAAATATTAAAATATAATTAATATACTGATGAATTCATCTTAAAAGTACTTTTTTAAAAGAATAAAAAACGATAATGAACAGTGAACAAAACCCTGAAACAATGACGACAACGACGACGACTAGGCAAAATCTCGCGTGGCGGGATCATGGATGCGCCCTGCTGGAGAGTCTCACAATAGGAGGAATCGACCGTCCAGTGCTTCCAGGTTTTTCTTGGTGGTCTAGCTTCAATTGACTCATGATTTCAACTATGAAAAATACTGAAATCTCCACAAAACATCTGATCTAAATCATAAATTTTTTTAATGTTAGCACAACTACTTAGGAACAATAAGTAGTTTTCCTGTTGATATCCGAATGGATCATTAACAGGAAAATTATTTGGGAAATATATTGAGTGATCAATCTTTTCATTAGATGAAACTCCATAGAATAAATTAATTAGAGACAATAGAATAAAACTTTATTCAAAATCAAAGTTATTTGAAACATATTAATTAAGGAACAAAGTCGAAATAATCATAACACACTTATGGACAAATTATGATCGCATTATAATTCAATAAGATTTTAGTTTAGTATTGTCGTTCTATTACATACTATTGAGCATGAACTAGAACGACACAAGGTATATCTAACAGTGAAATAATTTCAGACAGGGTTTTGTGGAGATTTCAGTATTTTTATAGTTAAAAGCATGAGTCAATTGAACCTAGACCATCATGGAAAAAGTGGAAGCATTGGACGGCCGTTTCGCCCCAATGTAGGACTCCTCAACAGTGCGCATCCACGACCTCACCTCAAGAGATTCGAAACCAGGACCCACCAGTCCAAAGCCAGATCATTTAATTGATAGACCACTGAGCCTGCTGGCATCTGAAGATGTTAATTTCTAACTTCAACCAATCCACGAAGTTGAGCAACCGTTCACCAATTGTCTTCAGTGAGTTGTTATCTCACGACAACGTGGTTTGAACTCCACTGGTTACTGCTTCCCACTAGAACTCCAAGAAATACCTCTTGAAGTCAGTCACTAGTGAGCATTATTATTATCAGAAGGATAGTCCCACAATAGGACGAAACGGCTGTGCAGTGCTTCCAGGTTTTCCTTGGTGGTCTAGCTTCAATTGACTCATGTTTTCAACTATGAAAGTAAAATAATGGTCTGATTATTTGGTCATAGTGTCATTTCGCTCAAAGCTTGAGTTCGAAACTCAAATTATTATAGGAAGACATATTTTATCAATTGTTGTTGTGAAATTGCAATGAGGAATATAGTAAACCTGAAAAAGCTAATGGAAGAAATCAACAAAACTTGCTTATAATGTAAGCAACCGATTCTTAAACTAAACACGTACAGATTTCACGCATTCCATCACAGATGCGTTCTATGTGGTGTTAACGTAGGTCAGAACCAGAGTCAATATTGCTGTAGTTAAGTGTAAGGTCCTAAAAGCGAGTGGTAAGTCGACGAATAACACGCTAACTTTATTCAATGCTTACACAGATATCTAATAGTGAACAGAACTGCAGAAGGTTGGGAGACGGTTAAGAAGCTGTTATAATTGTATTCTTGCTAATAAACGACCCGGCTACTCCTATTGCTTAGTATTGTTATACGATGACACTCGACAAGACCCCAAATCAGTACACTTTGAACAGGAATGAAATTGTATTGAAAAATAACAATGGGAAGTGAACAGCAATCACTAGTTTAAATAACGTTCATATATTTATAGTATATACGCAAGAAGCCTCTAGATTTTTTTCCAATAATATGCCCGGGCTGATCGGTTTAGAATTAGCCAATCAGCGTGCAGCAACACCAACATGCATGAAACATGCATACATGAAACATCCAATCTATGTCCCACTAACAGAAGCTCAAAACAAAAATTCTTAACAGTCCATGATGTTACGAACTATTTGATTGAGCTATGTCATAGGTTGGAATTTTCATAATCCGAATGATAATGGGTCAATGTGCCAGAAAAGTATTTAACGAATACCCTGTTTGTTTTAAAAGACACAGATACAATACCACGTTGATTGATTAACCTACTTTTACAAATTCAATGAACTAAGGATAGGGAGTGAAGTAGTCGAACGCGTCGACAACTTCAATTATCTTGGAAGTCTGATCAGCCATAATGGGTTGGTGTCTGACGAAATCTCAACACGGATTCAGAAAGCTCGTTTGGCTTTTGCCAACTTACGTCACCTATGGCGAAGACGAGATATCCGTTTATCAATTAAAGGACGAGTATACTGCGCATCAGTTCGCTCTGTTCTACTTTACGGCTGTGAAACATGGCCATTAAGAGTAGAAGATACTCGTAGGTTACTAGTATTTGACCACAGATGCCTTAGAAATATTGATCGCATCTGCTGGGATAACCGGGTAAGTAATAATGAGGTTAGACACAGGGTATTAGGGAACGATGGTAAATCAGTTGATGGGGTGATGAATCTTCATCGACTGAGATGGTTGGGCCATGTGTTACGTATGCCTGAACACCGATTACGACGACGCGCTATGATGACTAGTGTAGGGGACGGTTGGAAGAGTGTTAGGGGCGGCCAAACCAAAACATGGCATCAGTGTTTGAAGTCACTAACTTCTAGTCTGAGCCATGTTGGTAGATGCAGACTACTTGGTTGGGGTCGGCGTGACTATCGGAACCAATGGTTGGAGATACTAGGTGACATGGATCAGAATCGATCACAATGGCGTACGTGTATACACTCTTTATCTTCCCTTAAACCTTGAGATTAAAATTGCTTCATAACGTCCTTCCTTCCTATAATATATCTTTATATACAACCTATCTTTTATATACTACCACCACTAAATTAACTACTATGAATCCGGTGTTCATCTTGTTGTGCTAACGAGGTATGGCAACTCGGACGGATGTATATATGTGCCTGGTCCTAAGATGTAGCTGACTGACTTACGAATTCAACTATGTTAAATCAGCTAATCTAGTACAGAATGATCCCGTAAAATCAAATAAATAGATTGAAGATATCTGTTTTGACGTGAGTTCCTTCACATTCATTAAGTAACTCAAAGAAGTAACTTTTGCAATAATAGCTTTTCAATACATAAAGAATCAAAATCAAAAATGTTCGAAATTGATAAGTTAACACGAAAGATTTTCGATAAATAGAAAGTCATTATGCCTCCTTATATATGTATATAATATTAAAACTAACCTTAGAGATAGAATACTTCTGACCTCGTGTGCAGTAAGACGCCAATTAGAACTATTCCAAAAATAATGGACTTCTTCAACCTGGAAAACCGCGAACATATTGAAAACAAACGCATAACAAACAAAAGGCGAACTGCTCTATTTGTTGTGAGTGATGTTTAAGAATAACAGGAAATTAGAAAACATTAATAACATCATCAGAAGGGGTTTGTGGAGATTTAGTATTTTCATAGTTGAAAGCGTGAGTCAATTGAAGCTAGACCACCAGGTGTTGTATCCCCTGGCGAATTATGAATCATAAATCTGAGGTCCATTTATGGACAAATGTAATACGCCTATTCCTATTGGATAGTTGTTAAATAAGTGACCTAAATCTGAGGTCTATTTATGGACAAATATAATATACCTATTCCCTATTGGATAGTTGTTAAATAAGTGACTTAATCGTTCCGTGTTTCTCTTATCATAACCCTTATTTTTGACCTTGGAACTATTATTGTTGATTACTTTCCCCCTACCTACAGCCACATTGGCCAATTACTGTACAAATGTTTTTCCTATTTTTGATATATGTGGTCTGTTTGGTTAGTATATATAACCCAGTATGCTTGTGAATAATGATTCATATTGCTGAGGCTGTTATTTGTGTTCTGGACTTAACGGGCTGGGCTAGGCTAGGCAGATAGGAAGGACCGAATAGCACCCAATACTGTTCGTACGTATTCTCTGTATCATTGCACGTTCATATATATTAACGAGTTCATATGTTATAACACCAGGTAAAACCTGGAAGCACTGAACGGCCGTTTCGTATTATTGTCTATCAGTTAAGTGCTCTCGCGCGAGACTAGTAGGTCCTAGGTTCGAATCTCTTGAGGCGAGGTCGTGGATGTGCACTGCTTTGCAGTCCCACATTGGGACGAAACGGCCGTTCAGTGCTTCCACGTTTTCCCTGGTGGTCTAGCTATAATTCACTAACGCTTTCAACATTAATAAAAGACTGTGATATGTTTTTCTTGGTTAGATTACAATAGTTGAAATATTTATCGGCTACCTGAGACTAACCTCAAAGCTTTAAAAAATAAACACTTTTCCCGACAGCTTCTGCTACCTTGACGTGATGGCCGGCATCGCCTATCGTGATGAACCAATCAAGCTATACTAGTTGAAATAATCGTTCCTCAAGATCGTACCACGCCAGACTGGTCGGTTGAAGAGTGATAAGACTAAAAGCAGCAAGCCAAACGTCCGAAATCGTTCTGCTGAGGTGTGACAGCGGTAAGGTGTTTCCTTCAAACAACCAGCATAACAGCGAGGCTGCCTTCCCACAAGGAGGGGTGGGGTTAGAAAAGGTCGACCCTAAGCATGTACACCTCACCTTATCCGACGGATATTCGTCTCCGGCGGTAAGGTCCCAACAAGTATGGAGCTAACACAAAAACTACCAACAAAAAGGTTGTGTGTGACCGACCTCAGGTGATTTATTCAAACAAATATTTTGTTCTACACTTCTTTAAAATCAAGATAAGTTTACTTAGAAGATCATTTGTAATCTACAATTTTTCTCAATATAAAAATTAAAATCTTTGAACTGATAAGAAAATAATTTTGAACTCACTCGATCCAAATTTAAAAGTCTACAGATCTGTAAACTACGCGTGAAATAATCACGCAAAGAACTGTAAGATATCGATGTTAAATAGGCAAACAAATTATGATATTCTTTCTCTAACTGAATAGCTCCAAACTATTTTGAATAAAAAGAAAAAAGATTGAATAGAATTCAATATGAAAAAAGAAAAAGGCGTAAGACATAAATGAACATCAAAGTGGAAATATTCCATAGTAACAAGAATTGAACTTACTCTACTGAATGATTTCCTTTGAATTAATTGATCAAGTTGATGCAAAATTTCGTTTATGAGAATCAATACAAATCGATCGTTATTCTCAGTTGATAAGACAGACTATAATGAGGGTAAAAACATAAGAAACAAACAGTTCATTGGATAATAATAATAATAATAATAATAAATAGCTGTACATTTTAATTAAAACATCTAATCTTTACTATACGAAAATCGTTCGAAAGCACATACAGTTTCAGTTTGGAAAGGACAAGAGGCTTGATGGCCTGAGTGAGTCCTGGCAATGATGGTCTCTCAGCTGATTATTCAACGTCATGACTTTTATCATACAGAAAAAAACTACAATCACGAAAAGTAATATTGATTAGAAGATATTGGATATCAATTATAAGCGACAAAAAAATAAGAACTATGTACATAACCTTTAAAGTCATTGAAAACTACTGAATCTTTCAAAGTTCTGTATTTTACATATAGATATACATTACTTTATACTATAAAGTCAATGATCAAGATAACTTTGGAATTATAAAATCTACAAAGATGATAGCTAAAAGTGCATGGAATGAATTTGGTAGATATTTTGCTGTTATATCCCGAAGAGAATTATGGGTGGCACCTTTTGGATCAATACTATATGCATTTTTTATTATATAATTGTTAAGTAAGTAAACTATTCATATTCATGTTCCTTTTATTATGAGCTTTATTTTGACCTATGAACTACTATTATGCGACTTATCATTCCTGAGTTATGCCTTGTCTACCAATTACTATATCCCTTATTCATAGCCGCATTTGGCTGAATCTTGTACAAATGTTATTTTTTATTTTACGGTACGATGAGGTCTGTTTGATTGACATATATAAACTCAGTATGTTTGAAACAAATGATTCAAATTGCAGAGGTTGTTCTGGACATAACTGGCTGGGCTAGGCAGAAAGTAGGACCGGTGAAGACTCTAGACTGCTCGTAAGGGTTTCGTGTGTCATTGGTCCAATCGATAAGTCACTGCTCTCCAATTGGCGGAATCATCATGTCGTAAATTAATCGGGGCAAAAATCACAATATGTAACAATTGGTGTTCACAGGTTATAAAAGTTGCCCATATCGTAAGTGCTGAAAATCCTATTCTTCAATTCATCTAGTATCATAGATGAGTGCTTTGGAGCAATAAAGGAGAACAAAATAAAAGCTCCATTTAATGCTAATTTGATAAACATATCTCTTTATTAAACAAAACACAAAAAAATAATCTAGTTATGAAATCATGGAAGCTGTATTTGAAAAAATTAAATAGTTGTCAACAGAATCAGTCAGCTATAACGTAGGACCAGGCACATTTATATTTCACTCCAAGTTGTCAAGAGAGCAATCGTGTGGTCAAGGAGCATGCTAGTCAGTCACATAATTTAGTTATAATCCGTTTTTCCAGTGTTATTATTATTCTTATCAAATATTCTTGTAAAAACAATAGACGTGCAGCAAAACGATTTATATGAATTCGCGTATTCACAAATTATATAGCTACAGTTACAGAAACAGTATGATTATAAAAAATAACTAAAGTATCAAACTTTAATACCCTAAATGGTCTGAGAAAATCCTCTGTATGAGCTATACATGATTCAATCCATCTATCATTAGCAGCGAAAACATCTAAATCCTCCTGAAATAAAAGTAAAAAATAAACAGAAGAAATAATATCATGAAGAAGGTTTCACCAAATAAACATTGTTATTTTCATAGTTGAAATCATGAGTCAACTGAAGCTAGACCACCATGAAAAACCTGGAAACACTAGACGGCCGTTTCGTTCTATTATGGGACTCCTCAGCAGTGCGCGTACACGATCCCGCACTCGCGAGGTTATTATGAATATTATTATGGATATGATTAAATAAGAAATAATAAAATTCATGTCATCGAAAATCTAAATAAAGATCCTCATCAGTTTTTTTCATTATAGGAATCGCACATGTGACATAAGCTTCTTGATCAGTCATCGTGATGTGAGTTGAAACTGTACCTAGGTTAGGGTTAGGGGTTACAAACTGACATTCAAGTTGATGACATAAGTATCAATATCTTTTTCAGTAGATAATACAGCAAATGACAAAAATGACCAAAGTAGTATGTCAGACCAAACAATAAGCACATTATCAACGATATGAAATTAGGTCGGTAGTAAAACATAAATTACGAGCAGGAATATTGTGCGATAAATTGGTAGGTACTCATAAGTAATATACTTGGAATAACTACATAAATATCACAGGCCTCGTCATTAGTACATAACCACAGGAACATTTTTATTCACTAAGTAACGATCTACATTTCTCTTCAACTCATAACTATTAGCAATGTATCAGGTTATTGTAAAATCGCAATAAAAATTTTAGAATTGAAGCGATTTTGATCATTAGTTCAGATTCTCTTCTATATATAATTCCCTGAAACCAAGTAAATTTACAAACTGAAAAGAATTAATACCATTTTATTAGACTGAAGCCAGGTTATTATCACTTGTCAAAGAAAAAAATGTTTGTAAATAGGCTAGGGACTAGTGAATCTGTACGTCAAAGACTGTGAATTAAGATTTCCAGGCAGAGAAACGGAAATATACAGTCGGTATTATTCTACTAGAAATTCAATGGTAGTAGTTATATGTTGGCTACGTAAGTAGAACCAATATTTCCCTTAGTAAATATAATCTATGTTCAAGATTAAAACACCAAAGCTACAAGACCTTAACAGTCTGCCGACTTTCAAAACACTTGTCGAGTAGTAAAAAAATAACACATGACAAAGTATTCTACCATTCAAAAATTTCACACTATCACGAAGTACTAGTAAAAAAGATAACTATGATGTAAGAACAAATAAAAAGGACGTTGTCTAAAGCGCTAGTTAACTGATTAAAGGATTTGGTTTTCAGCAATTAGGTTCCAATTCTGAATTCCGCCCCACAAAATTCAGTCTGGGTAACTAGGTCGTATCAGACACTTGAATTATGATTTGAAATCAAGTATCCAGTAGTGAGTTAATGACGTTTGAACGTCATAACAACTAATCCCAATTTAACAAACACTGCATGCGCTACATGCAGTTATCTGATAATAACCATTACAGTTTACTACTCAAATTTTAGACAAGCTAAGCTTTAACAATACCTTGAAGGTGTTATTTTAATTATGTAAGGGTAAAAAATAAGCCAAAAAATAACAATTAAGTCAATACGGACCATTGTAATCTGGTATGAAAAACCACACTAAGCATTAGTAATAATAAATTTACTGCATTAGATAAGATGGTAGTTGGAGTTGGTAAACAGGAAACTCTGAGCCCGGGTTTCGTGCTACTTGGCACTCATCAGCAAGGTGTACCTGTAATCTTGAGGGAACTGGTGCTCCCTGACGGGTTCGACCCCGTGTCACTCAGCTTCACAGTCAGAGACGTTACCACTGAACTATTCGGGCCGCAACAGACCTCCTGTAGGACTGAGATGTAATCACAATTGATTGATCACTGGGTGGTGATCAATATAATGCAGGTCAAGTCCTTCTTAGTGCTGATCGAATGCTATCGATCAAATTTACTGTATTGGTAAAGCAAACTTTTATTTTTCGTCACTTGGAAAGGAAGTATATAAAGATAAATAGATCATGGTGATTACAGGAAAAAAAATAGAACTAAATAATGCTTCACACACTTACCTCAAGTAAATCATATTTCAATGACTTGAAAACATTTAACAATGTTTTTACTTGACTTTGAATAACACTAGTTGAAAGATGCTCGAAGGCAGAATCAAGTAATGCTTGAAGTTGATCTGAGATAGAAACTTTTAATTCCGTGATACACATCTGAAATGAGATGGAAAAAGCATTTAAAAATTAATCCAATAGAGACAAAAATGGGAATTGTAAGGAATGAAATTATAATCACAAGAGGTTTTGCAGAGATTTCAGCATTTTCCATAGTTGAAATCATGAGTCAATTGAAGCTAGAACACCATGGAAAACCTGGAAGCACTGGACGGCCGTTTCGTCCTATTATGGGAGTCCTCAGCAGTGCGCATCCACAATCCCGCACTCGCGAGATTCGAACCCAGAACCTACTAGTCTCGCGCCAAAACATTCAACCGAGACTAGTGGGTCCTGGGTTCGAATCTCGAGAGTGCGGGATTGTGGATGCGCACTGCTGAGGACTCCCATAATAGGACGAAACGGCCGTCCAGTGCTTCCAGGTTTTCCATGGTGGTCTAGCTTCAATTGACTCATGATTTCAACTATGAAGAATGAGATTATATTTATAAAGAGACAAAATGATACTAAATAGGGGTGGACGGGAGAAGAATCCAGTATATAAAATTTTCATATAGTGTTGCAAATTAATTATCACCATTATATGGTATTCTTTGCAATTTAAGATTACTTTGTGAACGTTTTATCACTAGGGCAGGCGAGTAACTTAGCACTTCATATACAAAAGAATTATATGATTAAAGAGTTTTTACGATACTGGAGACCATGTGTATTAACAGTTTGGAATTATGATTTGACGACTCTGGATATAAATCTCATCATATCCAGTATATTGGTGGAACTTCAAAATGTTTGTAATAAGTTCGTATTTATTTGGGAATAGTTTAAATGGTCAGTCAGAGTAATAGGCAACGAAGAGCATAATAAATATGAATATCGGTTCAAGTTTTCACATCACACCAAGACAGACAGAGGTTGCAGTATTTTAATTCGTAACAGTGTTGTTTAAAATAGAAAAGATTAAGCTCGACAAATGTGGATCCATGGGATAAAATATTATAAAAGTAATAGGGAAACATAGGACCTGATGAAAAACGAAGAGTGAATGCACCTGGGTCAGTCGATGAGAACGATTCTGAACCATTTTACCCAGTAATTAACAACTAGCTACGACAATCTCACGGGTCCGTGTAGCTAAGTGTACAGTACAGTCAAACTTCATAAACTGATTCTAAATTTTCAAGCATGCTCAAAATACGAAAGTAATGAGGAATCTACTTAGAAAAAAAGAGAGAGCAAGTCCATATTACAGTAATTTAACTAGAAAAGTGAACTCTTCATCCTCACTCTTGACGTAACCCGACCATTGCTGCTACCTTGAAGTGGTGGTCGGTCTTGCCTATTGTGATGAACCAATCGAGCTATACTAGTTGAAACAATCGTTCCTCAAGATCGTACCACGCCAGACTGGTCGGTTGAAGAGCGATAAGACTAAAAGCAGCAAACCAAACGTCCGAAGTCGTACTGCTGACTGTACAGAGGTGTGACAGCGGTAAGGTGTTTCCTTCAAACAACCAGCATAACAGCGATGCTGCCTTCCCACAAGGAGGGGTGGGGTTAGAAAAGGTCGACCCTAAAAGTGCACACCTCGCCTTATCCCACGGATTTCCGTCTCCGGCGGTAACGCCCTTTGAAGAACGGAGCTAACACGTCAAAAATCCCCCGCAAAAAGGCCGTGCGTTGCAGGCCTCAAGCAGTTGTCCCTTGGGCTCTGCGGTCACACTCCAAGGTCGTTAAGACCAACATTAATCCAACTTCCTTTTCAGGTCCCTCAAGAAATACCCTTCCACGGTGTGGGCAGCCGGGAAGTGATATTAGCCCTCATACCCGTAACTGCACATGAGATCAAGTTGGTCACATTCAAATCTTTCCTACACCTCCTAATAACTCTCTCATTTCCACGACTAACCCTTCTCACGTCCTTTTATCACCTCGCACTGCTATGACAAACGGTTCGAGTGCACGGAACGTTATTCCTGATCTCCTGAAACCACGCTCTAAACTACATGTAGGAACTCTTAAAGTCAGAACATTGTGCCAAATAGGACAACAGGCTTCCTTAGCTAGGACTTTAGAATCTTACAACATCGATGTGCTCTGCGTCTCCGAAACGCGCATACAAGATCCGAGTAGTGTCATTCATTTGACCTCACTTAATCAAAATAAAGAACCGACTCGATTAACGCTTTATGTAACTGAAAGCCCTGATGCTGTTTACCGTGGCCTCGCTAGAGTAGGTATAGCATTAAGTCCTATGGCAGAACTAGCTCTTTTAGACTGGATCCCAGTAGACAGTCTTCTGTGCGCTGTCCGACTAAATGGAATAGTAAGTACTCAGAAAGATAGGGACACTCGTCGTTGCCTCTTCGTTTTTTACAGAAAACTTTCCGACCTTCTCTGAAAAGATAGGCGCTCTGATGTAGTAATACTGGCAGGTGACTTTAATACTCAAGTAGGTAAACTAAGCTAAAGACACCTGGGTGTCATGGCGGAAAGAACAGAAAATGGTAACCGTCTGTTGCAGCTATGCTCAGACAACCGCCTGTTTCTTTCAAATACTAACTTTAAGCACAAGGAAAAACATATTTTGACATGGCGACCCCCGATTTGTCCCAGTGCTTGACCCAACTAGATCACATCGCTATCAGCCACCGATGGAGGGGCTCGATAGAAAACTGTCGCTCATTCTGGAGCACATGTTTAGATTCAGATCATGCTCTAGCGCGAGCACATATCTATCTGCGTCTTACTGGACGTAGGAAAGATGCTGCAGGGAAACCTCTTAGGGTTCTACTTAATGATAGGCAAGCTAAGAATATATTTCAGGAACAACTAGAAACACAGTTAGGCAGCCATGAATAAATAAATGTCGAGGACAGAGTTGGATGAATAATGCTAGTCGGCAGCTTATGATCCTCGACGTGAAGTAACAAGCGTGAGTAAGTAAGTCTTAAACTTCACAGGTGTAGAACGCGTGTATTTATCATCACCCGTAATAAATATTAAATCCAACCTAGCTAAATAAAACTGAATATATTTGAATTAGTTATATATCAGATCGTACTATTAAATATAAACCTATAAGTTACAGCCATTGTAGTCTAATCAAAAATGGAAGTGACTATTTATTGTTTCATCAAATGATAAATGGGAATATGCGTAGAAACACAAGATGTACATTATTAAACACTTAAAATCATAGAAAAAGTTAAAACATACATTAAGTTTCTGTGAATTGATTTCTTGATTTTGATAAAGTAAATTTAATTCACTTTCAAGATGATTAACAAGAGACAGTAAATTCTTTTGAGATGCTTCAATACTATTAAGAGTAACTAGAAAATGATATCTTGCAAGTGCATTAGGTCCAATCATATTAAATGATGATACTGTTGGAGCATTGACAATGGATGAAGAAGAACTAAGTGAACCAGCTAAGGTGAACGATTAAATGAAAGAAAATTACATAAGAAAAGATTTGACAGTATGTTTATCATAGAAAATTAATTTGACTATCAATTTAAACTAATTATAAAATGATAAACAAAGATGGATAGTGGCTAGCAGTGGAAACCAGGACGCGCGTTTCGTCCTATTCGGGACTCGTCAGCTGGAAGTACCTGCACCTCAGAGTTGATGTTCACTGTGCGACTCGAACCCAGTACCCTCGCTTCAAACGCCATCGCGTTATCCACTCGGCCACTGAGTCCTGATAGCCACTTGCTTGGGCGATGGGGTGAAGTTTAAATTCACTTAGTATTGTTTGTCTGAATCTTCCCATCGATGTGTTAGGACTGCAACTGGTCAGTCTCTAAATAGGACGAAACGCGCGTCCTGGATTCCACTGCTAGCCACCATCCATCTTTGCTTATAATACTTGTGAATCAAGGCTATATCGAGGCAATACGCACAGTATGCACATATGCCATTTAGAGACTGACCAGTTGCAGTTCTAACACATCGATGGGAAGATTCAAACAAACAATACTAAGTGAATTTAATTATGAAATTCTGAGATTCGGTTCACCAAAACACTGACTAACTTTATTAGCAACGACTTAAAGCAATACAAGTAACACCCCTATTTGAAGTGAAATGATACAAGAGGCATTCTGATGAATGTGAAAAGCTCTGAACTGTCAAGCATATACCTACATTTCTTAGACATGTTTTTTTCAAGAAGAATTAGGTAATCTGAATATATCAAATCAACTGCAGAAATGTGGAGTAAGGTATTAAAGTGATAAATAACTATCATAAAGTATTTACTACCAAGCTTATGCATTTGACATTTTAGTCAAATTTATCAATGATCTGCGCACTAAGATAAGTGGGTCAAATACGAAATATGAAGGTTTTATAATATTTTTGTAAAGTTTTCAGGTATACAAATCCTTGACCTGTATTTCATTAATGATAACGGATCATGGAGACCATATATCAAAAGACACTGATCAATTTATTCTGAATATCAGCAACAGTAAAATCTAAACATTGATAACTAGAAAGTATATTACAGTACTTGAAAAATGGTCTTTATCGTAACTTAGTGTTTAATTGAATACTGGCCTATAGTTTGAAGTAGTTTCTACTGCGTTCAGGTTGCAGTGAGAACTTCAACAAGAGGATGTAGACTAATCCAATTGACGAGTCACAAACGGGAAGAAACTTATATTGTGGATCCCACCATTAATCAAACGAAGATACGATTCCCGTGATTCGGTAACTCTGTAGTAAAATGGTTGAGAATGGATACCTATAAAGTACTAACTCGTATGTTAGTATTTGGTAGAGATAAATAAGAGTCATATATAAAAAGGCAAATAACCAAAACTTTATATGGAATCAATTTTTTGTAAGTGTTATTTGGGACTCTTAGAAGCTTGGTAGAGGAATCTAGCTTACCCACAGCAACACTATTCTGAACATAACTGTATGCATCTTGCACCCAACCTGAAGGAAACCCTGTACGAATAATGTTGCCCAGAAAATCATTCACCATAAGATCAATTAGTATTGAACAACTATGATTCACCATAGCACAAATAGTATCCACATTACCAGATGAAAGAGATCGACTGTTAAAAGAAATAAAAATAATTTCAGTATAACTGAAGTTGGTGTTTTTGCAACAAACATTCAATCATTAAATAGTATCTGATAATACCATACATATAATTGTTTTGAAGATTTAAAGTTACAAAACAATGTATTTTTATAGTAGAAATAGATAGACTTAGTCAGTTCCTGAACCAAAAGGTCGTCACCATCTTTAAAAAGAGCCAAAGGTAAGTCATCAGGGCCTGGTGACTGGTGGCGCTTCAGGAGTTGAAGTTCCTTGAGGGCTTCCACCGTGTTGGGTGGATTAGTCATCACGGGCCATGGAGAGCAGGAAAGTCTGATCGATGTCGTCGGGAAGGCAGACCAGTCGAACTGCTTCTCGAAAAATTGCCCATCGTTCAAGACGTCGTTAGATGTTATTGATTGGCATCCCGTCGTCTCCACAGAATGTTTCACCCACATCAGACTTCTTTTTGCAAGTGAGTCGGATGAGTTGAAAGAGCTTCCGGCAGCTACTGGAAACAGCTGCTGTTTCCAATTCGCTAGAACGCTCCGAACACCAGGCTACTCGGTTCTCACGCAGGTTTTGCACAATATAACTACACAGATATCTTTGTTTATGGTCAAACTCGCGGTCACCTGGAATCGGATGGGTTTCAATGAGTTGCAAGGAACCTGTAGAAACCAAGTGCTCGTAAGCGGGACGTTTCGCGAAGCTGCAAGCGGCTTTACACGCCATCTTCATGGCGTCAAGTAATTTCAACCAACTATCATCTATACTTTTCAGTAGGATGTTAGCTTGCCTTGAACCTAGTTCGGTTTGACATTTAGTCGCAACAGAAGCTGCAACGAATTTACTGCCATCGATCTGTTTAGGACGATGAATTTGTTGGGCACTGAAAAGAAGGGTAGGATTAGCGCAAAGAAAGGCATGATCAGAGTCCAGATAGGTACTCCAAAAGGAGCGGCAGTCTTGTACACAACCACGCCAGTGGTAGCTGATCGTGATGTGACCAACCTGAATCCAGGCTTCAGATGCGAAGGAGGGGGCCAGGTGGCACATCGGCGATGGCTGTGCAGGTAGTTAGTGCTAGCCAGAAACAGGTTGTGGTCTGAGCACAGTTGCGGTAGACAGTCCGTGTTATCTGACCTCCGATCAACAAGTCCCCATCGGCCATCTAAACGACTCTCTTTAGTGCCTAGACGCCCAACCTGAGCATTCATGTATCTGACTAGTACTACAATGTCTGTCGATCGCACTTTCGGTCGAACAACTGTTAACTGGTGGTAGAATTCATCCTTGATCGCACCTGGGCTACAATCTGTCGGAGCGTAGATGGAGGTGACAGAAAGACATCGTTCCTCACACCGATTTCTTCTCACTTTGACGGAATTTGCTAATCTAACAGCACATAACTAATCTTTAATGGGGATCCAATCGGTCAGTGCTGCCTCAGCTTTAGAGCTTAGCGTGACACCATTGCCAGAGAAACAAGACGAAGATGCCATAGAGTCCCCGGAAAACGCACGTGAAACAAGCTTCTGAAGGAACAGACAGGGAACAAATTTGCAGTACTTCACTGGAGTCTTGGATGGGCAACAGATATCTATTTGAGACTTTCTAAAGACATACTCAACTCTATCTGTTGTCCGGTCGGGAACGTTGTAAGGGGCCAATTTGGTTGGTACACATGGTTTCTGAAAGACCTGTTCAGTATTCGTAGTCGGTGGTAGCACTCAACTTTCGACCAGTCAGTGACTGGAGGTCGTTTAGACAGGATAGGGTTTTTTCCATAGGCGTGTTGCTGTGTAAGTTGAAAAATGAAATACGCAAAATGAGAATGAAAAGGGACTAGATAAGTGACGTGGTATAAAAGAAACAATAACGAATTCTATCAGATGATCGTGAATATAATTTTCCTGAATGAGAGTTGAAAGAAGAGTAATTTTTCCAGTAGTGATTATCATTTGATTTGTATGCGGGCTAAGATACTGCCCAGGCAACCAAACCGAAACAGGTGGTTTTCTTAGGGGGCCACACCCCGAGTTTTTGACATAGAAGTCTGATCCACAAGGCAGTGAAGTAACGTCAGGAAATGCAGTCCCATGACCAACAATGACCAACAATAAGTTCATACTCCATTTGTTCCCTCAGCATACTAGAGCCCATGTTCAGGAATTGCCAACTCCCCTAGGTTGATCTACCAACCCGATTATAGCGCCGGACATTCTCTTTTCATCCTCTGGATTTCATAAACAACAGTAATGCCGCGAGAAGGCAATGAGTAGGATCAGTTTTTACCAATTACAGAAATAACCAATATAAGTTAATTTTACTCAGGAGAACCAGCTTTCATGAAGTTATGTAACATTATGAATTTCTTTTTTACACTTTAAAGGTTTTATTAATCAGACAGTTAACAAGACGTTCTCAGCATTATACTGCTAATTTCAAATAAACTGAACTTATGGTAATTTTATAGAAGATATAATAGCAATAGAAGGTACAATCAATACGCTCAATGATAATAGCAATTACCACCGCATATATAATGCCTGTGTTTATCTACTACATACATAAATATGATAATAAATATTGTAAAGAAGATTCTGTTCAAGTGTTAGAAATTTGTATAAACCGATTACTGAAGAGATGATCTTATAATAAACTGGTAAATAACTGACTTATATTACAGTAAACGCAATCTAGTCAAAATATAAAATTCCAATGTTCACAAAATCAAATCAACCGGATAACAGATGCAATGAAGATGTCAACAATCATTAGCAGTTAAACTTTGACCATTGAAACATAATAATATAAAGAACTAGTAGCTAGTCATAATATAACAGGAACTATTGATTCATTATTTAATGGCTGGTAAGAGTGATGAATGATCTTATGAAAAACACTTAGGATGGTTAACACTGGCAAACAGGAAACTTTTTGTCTTACGTCAGATTTCCAATAAATTTTCAATATGATCCTTTCATGCACCTGATGGGAATCGTATGATACTTGGAGTGTATGTAAAGATAGGATAACCAACTGAAGGATAGTGAAAGCTAATGTGATGGATTTTCAGAATCCACAGTCCACAAAACAATATACTATATATAAGGAAGCTATAATACTACGGGTGGTTCATTGAATGAATGGGCACATTTATACTTCTTAATCATTTACATCAATTCAATCAGTCAGTCAGTCACAACGTAGAACCACATTAGCACAGAGATGAAGTTGTCGATTCATATCGTAGAAGTAGTATGAGTATAAACAGTAATCAGAAATTTCCGTCAACTAAGAAAACCGAATTTCCTGAAAATATGAAATACACTGCTAAGACCTTAACGCTTAAAGAAAATCATTAGAGCTGGGTCATTACAATTATATTACCTAACTAAATTGAAGTTAACATAATTCACAACAAAAAAATTGTAACGTACATAAGACTTTTTTTGGTGATGAAAAATACATCGTCAATAAAACACCATACATTATTAGATTTGTCGACTTCATCTGAACTTAATGCCTTGCAAAACAAATAATTGAAATAAATTCAGATTAGAAATGATGTACATCCATTAAGGGTGAAACTAACGAACAAGCGAAAAAAGTACGGGTTCGAACTGTTAGTAATGACAACTACAATGTCTTTATCTCGAGATTGAGCAGAATGATGTAATATTAAGGCATCTATTAATTTTCTAGTTAACATTAGCAGAAACTTCACAATAAAGTTAGCGACGAAAACTGATTTTCATATATATTTTAGTAGTTTAAGACTGATTCTTATCCCAAAGTATGTTATCACCACCTGAACAAATCCAAGTATATCAGAAACAAATTATCTACTTCATTTGACCAAATGTAGTTACTGCTGTTGCTGTAAAAGCGGGAGTGATTTGAAGCCTATCAAGAACGATGAATTGAAATACTAGTAGTAAAATCGTCTATTCAGTCTACAAAACATAAAGTATACATAGTTGTCAAATCCGATATCCTCAACGACTCAACAAAGCCGTGTTTATCAGAAACAAGACGTATTATTTAATTCATACGGAGTAAGTTGTAAAAAGATCTTTTTTTCCTTAGAACCCACATATCGTCACACACTTTTACTAAAGCTGCTGTTGAATACCGAAGTGGGGATGTTTAATTGAAGCAATGAGTGACAAAGGTTTATAGTCCCACGGGGGAAAAGCTAGATGAATTCAGTGAAAACGAAGCATAAATCTAGGAGATTTTCTCAATTATCTTTGTAAATATACTTCATATGAAAATGTAGTCATTTACAATAAACACTTACAACAGACATCATGTAGCAGAGAAAACAACTCACCTTCATAATTGTTACACGGAGATAATATTGTTCTAAATTAAGATATTTGCTGAGTAAATCTTGTACTTGACAAACAAGTTGAGAATTTTCAAAAAATTTGGAGATCTTATTGCTTTTCTCTAAAAAAAAGAGTGACTTATTTTTAATATTTTAATCTACATTGTTAAAACTATGGATGATACTACATCAAGTTACAAATTTAAGAAGCAGACAACACTATATATACATTCATATAGCAAATTTCAACGAGACAATACATTAAGATGATAACAACTTGTGTGGATATACAAGATTAAATATGTAGACAATATGAAAACTATTTGAAAGATTCTAGATGGATAGAAGGGAGATGGCCATACAGATAATTCAGCGAGATGAGAACTTAGAAAAGTTGATCTAGTACTATAAATTAACGGTGTACAAGTTCATATAGTATTACTCAGAAATATAATGTTATTTTCAGCTAATAGTACCCGTTTATATAATTGAGATCATGAGTCAATTGAAGCTAGACCACCATAGAAAACTTGGAAGCACTGGACGGCCATTTCGTCTTATTGTGAGACTCCTCAGCAATGCGTATCCACGATCCAGCCTCGCGAGATTCGAACCCAGGACCTACCAGTCTAGAGCCAGAACACTTAAACGATAGACCATTGAGACGACACGCAATGGTGTTAATGTCCTGAGTTCGAATCCCGCAAAGCGGGATTGTGGATGCACACTGTTGAGGAGTCCCGCAATAGGACGAAATGGTTGTCCAGTGCTTCCAGGTTTTCCATGGTGGCCTAGCTTCAATCGACTCATGATCTCAACTATATGAAATTACTAAAATCTCCACAAAACCTCCATCTGATAATACCCCTTTAGTTGTACAAACCTTTATAAGTGAAAAAATCACCCACAACTCACTCATTAAAATTAAAATTCCTAAACTAAATTACAAATAAGATTTTCTCATCACTTATGCAATTTAGAGAATTACAGAAGGCAAAGTATAAATAGTAATAAATAAGTAAATGTACACTTGTAATTGATAAATTATAAAGATACAATATCAAAGGTTAATTAGTACGCTATAACATTACAAAAGAGCGAACTATTCTACGTACTTTTAAAATCATCTTCTGCGAGATTGCACTGTTTAATATCAGCCTACAGAAGAAAAAAAAGACATCATAACAACTTCACATATTTACATATACATGGTCTGTGATTGCATACCAACAACAAAAACTAATATCTTTGTGTTCATTTAGTATTGTTTGTTTGAATCTTTCCATTGATGTGTTAGGACTGCAACTGGTCAGTCTCTAATTGGCATATGTGCATACTGTGCATATTGCTTCGATATAGCCTTAATTAACAAGCATTGTAAGCAAAGATGGATAGTGACTAGCAGTGGAATCCAGGACACACAGTATGCACATGTGCCAATAAGAGACTGACCAGATGCAGTCCTAAACATCAATGGGAAGATTCAAACAAACAGTACTAAATGAATTTAAACTTCACCCCATTGCACAAGCAAGTGGCTATCAGGACTCAGTGGCCGAGTGGATAACGCGATGACGTTTGAAGCGAAAGGTACTGAGTTCGAGTCCCAGAGTGAACATCAACTCTGAGATGCAGATGCGTCCAGCTGACGAGTTCCAAATAGGACGAAACGCGTGTCCTGGATTCCACTGCTAGCCACTATCCATCTTTGCTTAAAATATCTTTGTGTTTTTACCATGAGCAAAAAATAGAGCACTCCTCAGTAAATATATGAAGCCTATAATTAAATATAATCAAGTTTCTTTTTTCAAACTGCTTGGAACTTTAATTTTGTTAACGACTTCACCTTACTCGAACTGATTATATATTTAACATATTTCAGGTTAATTATTTCTAATTTGAATGAAAATAATAAGTTTTAATGAGGTTTTGTTCTCTAAGCTAGATGGTTTGGTCGTGGAGCTTTCATAGCTCTTCTGAAAGTTATCATCAGCACAAACTTCAGGTAACAGTGATCAAATTCTCAATTATAGTAGAAACAACACACGAGCTCATAAAACCAACTGCGTATAAACTTTGTTCAAGAGGGTGAGGACACACTGCAACACAATTACAGCACTAAAAAATGGAGAAAAATACCTGGATACGATCCTTCAAAAGTACGGCTGCCCAATCAATTTCATCAAAAAATACCAGCCGACCGCATCATCAGAAACAAATCCATATACATAAACCAACAAACGGGTCACCCTACCATGTATAAAAGGCATGTCAGAAACTACAACGGCGTTGTTGAAGCCTTTCGGAATAGATGTAGCACACAAACCAACAAAATCACTACAATCAATCCTATGCAAACCAAAGGACGAAATGGCACGAAGAAAAACCGAACATCACCTACGAAAAAAATTGTGCCAACTGCGAAAAACACTACATGGGACAAAGCGGACGTCCTCTTCATCTTCGCCCGCGTGAACATCAATTAGCAGTCAAACGGCATGACATATTTTCACTTATATCAATACATGTAGAAAATCACAGACACATATTCGACTGGTAAAATGTGGAGATCTTGGATGGAAGTAGTTCTAAAAACACCAGAGAATTTTTAGGACCTTGACGCTCAGGTCAATCAGCAATCAACAAGCACATTGAAATCGATCCAATTTATCAACCAATCAGAAAAACTATGAACAAACACAGGACCAAAAATCAAACCAATGGGAGATACAACCAAAATAAAGTAAACAATGACAGGTTTAAGGTCAACTAGAACCAACCAACATCGAGGTCTACAGGACAAGCTGTGAACCACATGTGGTGAAGTTTGTGCTGATGATGTCGTTCAGAAGAATGATGAAACCTCTACGATCAAACCATCCAGCCCGGTGTCAAGTAAATGCCGTGCTATTGCACTGCCAAGAACCCTAGTCCCTCACAACCTCAATTTCTTTGGAACATGCTCAGAAATGCGAACATGTTCTAGCCTTATTTATTAATAAATATATTTTTATTGTTATATCCTAACGAGTAGAAAAATTGTCTTTCTGAAGATGTTTCGTGACTTATTGTAAGCCATTCCTTCATAGTAAATAAATAACTGAATTAAATTAACACAAGTATAAACAGGACAACTTAGTAGTATCTGAAGAAATGGCTTACATTAAGTCACGAAACGTCGTCAGAAATACAATTTTTCCACTCATTGGGATGTAATAAAAATATATATTTATTATTAATAATTGCTTACATTTTATGTACAATGTGATTGCCCCAATGTATTCACAATGTTTTAAAGAATTAAACACAGAATGACATATTAACTTTTTTCTTAACAGATTACTACAGTGAACCTAAGCATAGTTTAAAGCAACTTTTAAACAAACATAATTTATATAGTTGGGATCATGAGTCAACTGAAGCTAGACCACCATGGAAAACTTGGAAGCAGTGGATGTCCATTTCGTCCTATTGTGGGACTCCTCAGCAGTGCGTATCCACGGTCCCGCCTCGCGAGATTCGAATCCAGGACCTACCAGTCTCGCGCCAGAGCACATAACCGATAGACTACTGAGCTGGCATCCAACCGACTTCTCAAAATTGTGAATCTCTTTACTTAAAATTTTAACGTTAATATGATTATTCATAATATAAAACACAACTTACAGAAATTCGCCTCTGTATAAATCTCAAATAAAGTTCTGAACAAGTAATGATCTGGAGCGTTTCAACAATTATAGGCTCAATGACTAATACGCGATCCGATCCTAATTCGCTTGAATCCAATATTTTATCTCTATTGATCGACTGAGCTGATGAATCATGTCTTTTACTGCTCAAACTATTACTATTTGATTTCTTGAGCATTGAACACAGTTCATCAAGATGATGATAAGCATAGAAGCGCTCGACTACACACTTGACGTATCGGTCAACAACACAATGAACAGAAGATACAAGCCCGAATATGTTGCCTGGACCTAATTAAAACATAAGAAAATAAATAGATCACACTACGTAACCTAGTTGCAGCTAACCCCACATACATAAATTCGTAAAACTGTCTGTTATAAATAAATAAGTGATGTACAGTACATTTAGACTGCGGCTAGCAAAAGGATAAAGGACGCGTGTTGCTTCCTGTTTAGGACACGTCAGATAGATGTACCAGCATCAGTGTTGATGCTTACATTGAGACCTCAACTCAGTACCTAACGCATTATCCAATAAACTAGTGATTCCACGCAGTCACTGATGTGTCCAACGGGTCAGGGTTTGTATTTTCCACCTAGTGAAATTTCAGGGCTACAAAGAAAGCATACTGAGGACTTGCAATTTAAAAGGAAGCATTTGCTCAGGATTCAAATATACAAGTGAATTGCACAAACCCTTACAGAGAAACTGATGTGTTTGAAAAGGTTAAGTGAATAATTTTTTAACATTAATATGACACAATTATTTACTACAACTGTATTACAAAGACATTAGTACACACAGGATCATTACGTGTCATCATAAGCAAGTTAACCAGAATAAAACTCCCATGAACATAGTAAATGAGGAGACACAATGAGTCTACAAATTTTGGACTGTCGCATTCTTTACAAATAAGTGGTGTTAATAGACCTCTAACCCTCGGCACCACTATTTACTAGCATTGTGATCGTTAGTTGGACAAGATATTTGAAATACTCCCTAAACAAGTGATAAGACCCTTACTCTTCTCAATGCAGATAGTGTGATAATGGGAAATTGTTACAGTAGTATAAAATGTCAATTTCAACAACTGTGTAGTACCGGTAAACTGCACACTTAATAAAATGAAACTTAGAGTTGAGTTATTGAACTGGTCTTGAAAGAAGTACATGCTCTTAGTTTGATGTTTGCACCAGAACCGATATATTTAGTTACAGACTTCAGATGGTATGGGTAAAATCGATGACAGTAAGATTAATAGGATTATTATTCATTCTCCTACAGCTTTCGCAATAGTTTTATCATATAGATTTTTTTTAATTGCCCAATTTCATTTGTTTTATTCACTCTTATTTATTACTTCGGTTTTTACTGCTGTTGTTATTATAATCCAGAACTCGTTTCCTGTTGACTAATTTTTACTGTGCTTTTGTAGGGTTGTGTCAACCTAGACCGTTAATTATGTCTGCAATTCCTATTTATCCTTTAATATCTACCATGATTCTGACTAAATTCAGATATCAGTGTACAGACTGAGAGTGAACCCAGGGAAAAGGAACTTCTTACCGGAGTTTCTGCTTTATAACTCGAGTTGAGTTGATGTACAACCTTTCCATGGGATTTTTGACGGACTGTCGAATTTTCAATTTATATCAAGGACTGATTTTAGTTAGACCACAACTGAAAACCAGGAGGCGCCGAACAGTTGTTCCCTCATAATATGAGACTTTCTTCTCAATGTGCATCTCTGCCCCCGGAGGGGACAGAAACTAAGATATTTAGCTTTATAAGCAAAGACGGATAGTGGCTACCAGTAAAATCCAGGACGCATGTTTCGTCCTATCTGGGACTCGTCAGCTGGATGCACCTGCATTCCAGAGTTGTTCACTTCGGGACTCCAAACCAGACTGTTCGCCTCATAAACCAACGAGTTATTCACTCAACTACTGAGTCCTGATAGCGCACAAACATCCAGCCGACAAGTCTCAAATAGGACGAAACGCGCGTCCTGGATTCCACTGCTAGCCACTATCCATCTTTATTCATAAAGCTTGTGATTTAAGGCAATATCGAGGCAGTTCGCACACGATGCATATATGCCAACAAGAGACTGATCAATTGCATTCCTAAACACCAGTGGGAAGATACAAGCAAACGATACTAAGTGAATTAGGATCTTTAGGCCTCGCGCGATATAGCACGTTGGTTGAAATTAGATACATAAATCACTGGATGCCGACTAAATGGTCAAAACGTCAAGCACTCGCAGCAAGACCTAGAGGTTCAGGGTTCTATTCTCAGTAGGGTCATGGAGATGCACTGCTGAAGAGTTCAATACTAGGACGAAACAGATGTCCAGAACTTACTAATTTTTAACTGTGGTCTAACGAAGGTCAGTTTTTGATATAAGCTGTACTAATTCATATCCACCAAATGAAATGAAATTAAACCTAGACTTGACCTGGAAATCCAAATGGGATTCGAACAAGAATAATAACATTAATAGTTGTATGCTTTTTTTCAAACTAGGACCTAGAGAACGAACCACCACTAACCTTACACTTTATAGTTTAATAATTAAGATGACTGATCTGGTGAAGCCAATCTAGTCAATTTCAAATTAGTAATATATTATTTGCTTCCAACAGTTAACTCGAATCAAAATTATTTCGTCATATGGAAGAGGGTACAGGAAGATGAATAAACCATATTTTGCTACCGTAATAACATGTAACTCCGCCTGTAGCTCCTCCAGGGGCTACTGCCGGTCCCAAGCCCGGGTAAAGGAGGAGGGTTGGGCATGGGGTTAGCGACCCCATCCCGTAGAAAATCAACTTGCTAAAAAAACGCTAACCAGAAAAAATCATTCGAACCATTCAAACTCTGCCCTAGGAGTAGAAGGAATAATGACGTCTCATGATGAAAGCCGAGTTCATTCGGAAGTCATGAGGCCGATGCACCTTCTTACAACCAGAGCGACAATTTTTATAGGTACATGGAATGTCCGGACAATGTGGGAGACCGGCAGAGCCTTCCGAATTGCTGCGGAAATGAGGAAATACAACCTGGAAGTGCTTGGAATTAGTGAAACACATTGGATGCAGGTTGGACAACAACGACTGTCTTCAGGGAACTTCTGTTATACTCCGGTCATGAAGAAGAAAATGCCCCACATACACAAGGAGTGGCACTGATGCTGTCTAGAAAAGCACAAAATGCACTTATAGGATGGGAATCTCATGGACCGAGGATCATCAAAGCCTACTTCAAAACAAAGAGAGAGGGCATTACAATGAACATCATCCAATGCTATGCGCCGACCAACGACTACGATGAAGACGCTAAAAACCAATTCTACGATAGGCTGCAGTCAATCTTCGAGAAGTGCCCAACCAAGGATCTGACCATTCTAATGGGAGATTTCAATGCCAAGGTTGGAAAGGATAACACTGGATACGAAGACGTCATGGGACAACATGGACTGGGAGGAAGGAACGAAAATGGTGAGAGATTTACAAACCTATGTGCCTTCAATAAACTGGTCATAGGTGGCACCATATTCCCACACAAAAACATACACAAAGCCACTTGGATTTCACCGGATCACACTACACAAAATCAAATCGACCATGTCTGCATCAACAAAAAGTTCAGGAGGACGATGGAGGATGTGAGAACCAGAAGAGGAGCTGATATAGCATCCGATCATCATTTGCTGGTCGCCAAGATGAAACTAAAACTCAAGAAGCACTGGACAACGGTGCGGACAACATCACAAAAGTTTAATACGGCCTTTCTTTGAGATGCTGACAAACTCAACGAATTGAACATAGCCCTCAGCAACAGGTTCCAGGCCTTTCATGATCTACTCAATGGAAAGTGGACTACCATGGAGAACAACTGGAAAGGTATCAAGGAGGCAATCGTTTCAACATGTCAGGAGGTTCTGGGCCAAAAGAAGCACCATCACAAGGAATGGATCACTGTTGGTACACTAGATAAGATTGAAGAAAGAAGGAACAAGAAGGCAGCAATCAATATCAGCCGAACAAGAGCAGAAAACGCCAAGGCACAAGCCGAATACACAGAGGCAAACAAGCAAGTGAAGAGGAGCATCAGGACCGACAAACGTAAATATGTGGAAGATTTAGCAATGACAGCGGAAAAGGCTGCAAGAGAGGGAAACATGAGACAACTGTATGATACAACAAAGAAACTTGCTGGAAATTACCGTAAACCAGAAAGACCAGTGAAAAACAAGGAAGGCAAAGTAATCACCGACATTGAAGAACAACGAAACAGGTGGGTAGAACACTTCAAGGAACTCTTGAATCGACCAGCTCCACTGAACCCACCCAACATCGAAGCAGCACCCACAGACCCACCAATCGATATTGGCCCACCAACAATTGAAGAGATCAGCATGGCCATTAGACAAGTCAAGAGTGGCAAAGCAGCGGGACCAGACAACATCCCGGCGGAGGCACTGAAAGCAAATGTAACAGCAACTGCCAAGATACTCCACATCCTCTTCAGTAAGATTTGGGACGAAGAACAAGTACCAACAGACTGGAAAGAAGGACTTCACATCAAGATACCAAAGAAAGGCGATCTTAGCAAGTGCGACAACTACAGGGGCATCACTCTTCTCTCAATACCAGGAAAAGTCTTCAACAGAGTATTGTTAAACAGGATGAAGGATTCCGTGGACGCTCAACTTCGAGATCAACAAGCTGGATTTCGTAAGGATAGATCGTGCACAGATCAAATCGCAACTCTACGTATCATTGTGGAACAATCAATCGAATGGAATTCATCACTCTACATCAACTTCATCGACTACGAGAAGGCATTTGATAGCGTGGACAGGACGACACTATGGAAGCTTCTTCGACACTACGGCGTGCCTGAGAAGATAGTCAACATCATACGGAACTCCTATGATGGACTAAACTGCCAAATCGTCCACGGAGGACAACTCACCGACACATTCGAGGTAAAGACCGGTGTTAGGCAAGGTTGCTTACTCTCACCCTTTCTCTTTCTCCTTGTGATAGACTGGATCATGAAGACGTCAACATCTGGAGGAAATCACGGGATACAGTGGACAGGCAGGATGCAGCTGGACGATTTAGACTTCGCAGATGATCTGGCTCTTATATCACACACGCAACAACAAATGCAGGAGAAAACGACCAGTGCAGCAGCAGCCTCAGCAGCAGTAGGTCTCAATATGAACAAAGGGAAAAGCAAGATTCTCCGATACAATACAATATGCACCAATCTAATTACACTTGACAGTGAAGCTTTAGAGGATGTGAAAACCTTTACATATCTGGGCAGCATCATTGATGAACATGGTGGATCTGATGCAGATGTGAGTGTGCGGATCGGCAAAGCAAGAACAGCATATTTACAACTGAAAAACATCTGGAGCTCAAAACAATTGTCAACCAACACCAAGGTTAGAATCTTCAATACAAATGTCAAGACAGTTCTTCTGTATGAGGCAGAGACGTGGAGAACTACGAAAGCCATTATCCAGAAGATACAAGTGTTTATTAACAGCTGTCTACGCAAGATACTTCGGATCCGATGGCCAGACTCTATCAGCAACAAGTTACTGTGGGAGACAACAAACCAGATTCCAGTGGAGGAAGAAATCAGGAAGAAGCGCTGGAAGTGGATTGGGCACACTTCGAGGAAATCACCCAATTGTGTCACAAGACAAGCCCTCACATGGAATCCTGAAGGTCAAAGGAGAAGAGGAAGACCAAAGAACACATTACACCGAGAAATAGAGACAGACATGAGAAGAATGAACATGAACTGGAAAGAACTAGAAAAGAAGGCCCAGGACAGAGTGGGTTGGAGAAAGCTGGTCGGCGGCCTATGCTCCATTGGGAGTAACAGGCGTAAGTAAATGTAAGTAAGTAAAGTAATAACCGGTATTTTACAGTCAGTCAGTCAGCTACAACGTAGGACCAGGCACATTTATGCATCGGTCCAAGTCTCCATACATCATTAGCACAACAAGATGAACATCGGATTCATAGAAGTAGTTAATTTAGTGGTGGTAATATATAAAAGAAAGATTATATATAGGGATATAGTACAGGAAGGAAGAACGTTATGAAGCAATTTTAATCTCAAGATTTAAGGGAAGATAAAGAGTGTATACACCTACGCCGTTGTGATCGATTCTGAGCCATGTCACCTAGAGTCTCCAACCATTGTTTACGATAGTCACGCGGACCCCAACCAGGTAGTCTGCATCTACCAACATGGCCCAGACTAGTTCGGTATTTTACAAATTCTTAACACTAAAATACTTTTTCCCCTTGCAAAAAATATATCACATTAGAAAGTCAGAAAAATAAGCTTTTGCACAACTCTTCTTGTTTCTTCAAGTGACAATAAAAAAATGTATACTTACCACAGTATGTTTCGACGTACATTGAATTATTTTTCAATGTATCTGCAACAAACTCTAGAATTTCTGTGATTAAATTAGCCGATACAAATTCCGATGATTGCGAAGATGATTTATTAGTAGTTATCAATAGTTCACATTTATTTGAAATGTATGAGCAAAGATATATAGAAAATCGTCGAATTCCTTCATTGGTTTCACCCAATAGGAAAAATATTTTTAATAAATATACTATATTCTTTTCATCTCGTTTCGAAACATATTCATCGAATTTCTCAACTGCCATCTTCACAAGAATTTGTCGACTGTCATCCAGAGTTGTCAATGGATTATTATCAGGATTATCTATAAAGTATTTTGTTTAGATCATCATTAATGACCATCAGAAACAAGAGACCATTAAAAATTGGAGATTAACAACTACAACAGGAAATATTTGATAAGATTAGTAAAATCAGAATAAATACAGTATGTATATGTTGAGTGACGTGTGTCTGTCATAATATTAGCTAGTTCATGGAGCTTGACGTTCGGCCATATGTTTCAATATGTTGGCTTCCCATATTAATATATTGTCAAATTGGCTTAAAAAGACGTATATACCCGTTTATTTAGGGGTACTTCAAGTGTGTGACGTGATTTAGAAATGAATAGCAGTATAGATACATTTACCTTCTATTCAGTTTTGATATTCACTTATACATGTCTGTAGTTCGTCCCTCGTTTTTGAAGTATACTCTGAAATTTTAGCCGTTCATTATCGCTGATATTACTATTATTTCGACTCATTTGCTACTTTTCCGTTTATTTCATCTTGTTGCGCTACCATGGAATCCTAACCTGAGCTAAATCACATTTGCGTCAAGTTCTATATTGATTATTACTAAATCGTAACTCCTTAGTCACTTTATTGGTTTCCAGTTAGTCAGATCACCATCATGGACATCAAAAATAAAGGATATTTGTAGGTTGCAAGCATCAAATCATAGGTGTTTTCGAAGCATTGCTCGTGTGTTTTGGGACCACGGAATAAGCAATGTCTGAGTTAGGAATACGGTACTAGGTAAGAATAACAAGTCGATTGATGAGGTAGTAAATCTTCATCAAGTGAGGTGGTTGAGACATGCGTTACGTATATAGGTGTACGAGTAGGCTGGAAGGCTAGGGGCTGTCAAACCGCAACATAGAATCAATCCATGAAGTTATTAACATTTGAAATTATTTACTTGAACATACAAATATTAGTACAAGTGGTACCAGATATATATGCGCCACACAAAAAATGTCATTTCACTGTGTGAGGGCTATGATACTGCCCGGGTGCCAAGACCGAAACAGGTGGTTTTCTTAGGGGGCCACACCCGGAGCCTTTGACCTAAATGTCTGATCCACAAGGCAGTAGGGTATCGTGAGAAGATGCAGTCCCATGGTAGCCGGTGACCAACGATTGGTTCATTTGTTCCTTCAGGATATTGGAGCCTATGTACATCATTGGTTTGGGATCAGAGTTTGCCAACTCCCCTAGGTAAACTTTCCGTGTCCACCAACCCGTTTAGAGCGCCGGATATTCGCTTTTCGTCCTCTCAATTTCGTAAACGGTAATGCCGCGAGAAGGCAGTGAGTCGGACTTTCCTGACAGAGGCTGTGTAGGCGTGGTCGTGTGAGAGCATTTCGGGAGGGAGGGCGGACTCTCACCACTCTCGGCCGTACCGGAGCATTTGGGGGATACATTTGGATTTACTCATGTTAATAGGTATAGCCTACCGTGTTGGGATGCGTGTGATTATAGTAGTCAACGGTCATAGACTTTGAATGACATGGTTCAAGATTGTTTGCAATGGCGCAGTCGCATCCATCCTTTGTCTTCCCCCAAATTTTGAGATTCCAAATTCCTCACGACTTTCTTGTTTTTATTTCACTAATTTAAATTTTCCTATTGAATCGTATCTTTGGTGCCTAATCTTTCCTATTATCACTAATACGGTAACTACCTCTACTATTCTGGGATTTGGCCTGACAATTTCATCTCTCAGTGATGATGGGGTATGGGAACTTGAACCGATGTACAAACGCACCAGGTTATAGGCTGTGACCGACTGAGACCACCACCGTACATTTGAAAGGCGTGAAGTATCCATTTAACTACGTCTAGTTTCTCAACTTTAGACTTTATAATGATTATATTATTATTGTGACTCATCAGCTATACTCGGCTTTGAATCATATTTTACGACGACTGGTCATAATATTTGAATGCTTAAAACACAGAATTTGGATTTCAAACTTACCCTACATTGGTTGATAGCTTAATGTTTAAACCAATAAGCCACTGATTCACTATTGAAGTGTTTGGAAATGTTCCACTTTTTATCACTTTTACTTAACGGAGTAGTGTTCGACTGACACTACAGGTAGATTACAGCAATCTTCAAGAAATCCGTAATAAACGTCACCGTCAACATATACAGGAGTTAAACGTAAGTGGCGAGAACAAATAGCCAATGTATACTAAGTTTTCATACCATGACGAACATAAGAACTGTGCTTTCTAAACCATTCTAAACTTGTGAGTTTTTGAGACACACGTTATGCAGACTCTATTTAAGTCATATCCTGGTGTTCAACGCCGAGCGATCTAGGGGTAGGTTGAAAGGCTAAAAGCTACCACGAAATCACTTATCTAAGTCGTAAGGGACAGGTATTGAATTATTGGTCAAGGTTCTCTAGATAATCGTGGTCAACGGTTTAAGAACTCGAATAAACGTGGCTCGGAATAGGACTTAACAACATAGATCCATTTATTTCCTATTTATCTCTAAATTCTGATTTTAATATAGATACCTTTAGCCACTTACTTCGTCTAATACTGGAATTATTTTGGCATCTATTCCTTTCACATTGTTAGGCTCTTCCTTTACTGCTCCGACATGAAGTATAGGGACTGCCTAAGGCATATTTCTAAATGGTCCTTCATCATGACTGAAACATGTAGTCTTCCCACCTTCATATAATTTGCTGACCAGGACCTCACGTTAGGCATGTAGTTACAGATTATTGGAAAGCTATATCTACTTCCAATCAAAACACAAGCAGAGAAGTTGAAGTAACAATTCACAACCACTTTTTAAGCAATTCATCAAAGTATGCTTTGTATATATATATATATATATATATATATATATATATATATATATGCGAATGAACCCGGACAGTGAGAAAACTACTAGTTTAGACCGATGATATTTTAAAGTGGAAAACAGGCTTACCCGCTGACAGACGCGAAATAAGAGAAATTATATCTCTCTCCATTTCCAGATACGTAAACACGTAACCAGCGGCCTAAAAATAACTGTGAAAATCAACTACGTTACTTCATCTAATTTAGAGTCAATGAGACATCGTTTCACTCCAATTGCACTGTTCCTTACAGTAATTATATGACTTAGTTTATCTACACATTTAAGAACATGATTCTGAAAAATACTAGGAATTCAATAAGATTACTTTTACAAAATCTAATTGCTCCACTTTCCCACTGAGCTGTAGAGCAAGTTTCGAAGCACAACCGACCAATTTTGAAGAATTTTCGGCATTTACTTGTAACTTATGGAAATCAGGTCTACAGAAAAAGTATAGCTAACGGGTTTGCATACATTAGAGAGTTTATCTTTTTTAATTTATGCTCTATTTCACTTCTTCTAGCAAGTAAGTTCTTGATTTCATCAGATACATCTGCCTGTAAAGTCGATTTTATTCAAAAATCAAATATTACTTACCTTAACATTACGGGACTTCTCAACTAGATCCTTAAGATCGGAAAAGTCGTCAATCATGCATACATTGGAGTCCATGATATTGGTCAGAGTTCAATTGCCTTAAAACAAAAACAACAGTCCCAGAAGAATTAGATGTTAAGTATGGAAACCAAAACTCAGCTTGTACCTCTCCTAGGGCTATTGCCTGTCCCAACCCCACACAGACGAAGAAGGTTGGGCGTGAGATCAGCAACCCCATCCCGTAGAAAAACAACCTTGCTAAAAACAAACTCTAACTAGAATAAACAATTTAAACCATTTAAACTCTGCCCTCCGAGTTGAAGCATCTTCATTCAGAATAATTATCACGCCTTATGATGGAAGCTGAAATTCTTCCGAAGTCATGAGGCAGATGTTTCTTCTAAAAACCACAGTAACAAATATTATAGGTACATGGAACGTCCGGACAATGTGGGAGATCAGGAGGACCAGTGAAATAGCAACGGAAATCAGGAGATATAAATTGGCGGTTCTCGAAATCAGTGAAACACTTTGGACCAAAAATGGACAGCAAAGGTTATGTTCGGGAGAGATGCTCACGTACTCTGGTCACAAACAAGAAAATACTCCACAAACTCAGGGAGTTGCTTTGATGCTGTCCAAATAAGCATATGGGATGGGAATCTCACGGATCCAGAACCATCAAAGCATCCTTCAAAACAAATGAAATCTTACTTTACTTACGCCTGTTACCCCTAGTCGAAGAGCGTAGATCGCCCACCAGAGCTCTCTATCCAACCTTCTCCTGGGCATCCTTCAAAACAAGGAAGGGGGAAACGTAATGAATGTTGTCCAGTGTTATGCACCAGCCAATGATAGCAACGACGACAATGAGGACTAGTTCTATGAGACTGCAATCAATCATAGAGAAGTGCTTAAGAAACGATCTCACCATCCTGATGGGAGACCTAAACTCCAAAGTCGGAATGAACAACACCGGATATGAAGATATCATGCGACGACATAGACTGGGAGAGAGAAACAAAAATGGCGAGAGATTTGCACATTTATGTGCATCCAACAAACTGGTTATAGGCCGCACAATATTCCTCCGCAAACGCATACACAAAGCTACATGGGTCTCACCGGACCACACAACGGAGAACCAAATCGATCACATTTGCATCACTAAAAAATTCAGGAGATCTATGAAAGATGTGAAAATCAGGAGAGGAGCTGACATAGCTTCAAATCACCACCTGGTTGTGGCCAAGATGAGACTGAAACTAAAGAAACACTGGACAACTGAAGAAACAGCAGTATAAAGGTTCAATACAGCCGTCTTTCCAGATACTAACAAACTTAACCAATTCAAGATAACTCTCAACAACACGTTACAAGCCTTACAGGATCTACTCAAAGAAGAAGAAACTACTATAAAGGACAACTGGAAATGGATCAAATGAGCACTAACTTCAACGCATCAGGAGATTCTGGGTCCCGATAAGCATCATCATCATAAGGAATGGATCTCTGTCGAAACCCTAGACAAGCATCAAGAAAGGAAGAACAAAAAAATAGTAATTAACAACAGCCGAACAAGGACAGAGAAAGTCAAGGCACAAGCTGAATGCACTGAAGCAAACAAGTGGGAAATCAGATGGACCTGACAATATACTAGCCGAAGCACCAAAGTCAGACATAGAAGCAACTGCTAACATGCTCCACGTTCTGTTCAGGAAGATTTGGGAGGAAGAACACGTATCACAGACACACTGGAAAGGTTTGCAACAAAGTGTTGCTGAACTGGATGAAAAATTCAGTAGATGCCCAAATTCCAGATCAACAGACCGGATTCCGTAACGACCGGTCGTGCACAGACTAAATCCCAACACTAACGATCATTGTTGAACAACCAATTTAATTCAACCCATCACTATACATCAACTCCCTTGACTATGAGAAAGCATTTGACGACGTGGGTAGGAGAACATTAAGGGACCTTCTTCGACTACATGGATTAAGTAGCATGGGAAAATCGTCAACATCATACCGAATTCATAAGATGGACTAAACCGTACAGTGGTGAATGGAGGATTACTGGCAGACTTACTCAAATTGAGGACCGGTGTCAGGCAAGGTTGCCTACGACCACCTTTCTCTTCCGGTGGTTGACTGGATTGTGAAGACCTACACATCTGAGGGAAATCGCGGAATACAATGGACAGATTGCATGCAAATAGACCTTCTATCCTATACACACCAACAAATGCAGGTGAAGAACAAATAGAACTCAAAACAACTGTCCGCAAGCCATTATCAAAGTCAGAATCTTCAATACGAACGCCAACACAGTTCAACTGTACGAAGCTGAAACTTCCAGAACTACCACAACCATCATCAAAAACGTACAAGTATTTATAAACAAATGTTAAAGTAAGATACTCAATGTCTGTTCACCAGATACCATCAGGAACAACCTACCGTAGGAGAGAACAGACCAGCTTCCAACTGAGGAGCAAATTACGAAAAGACGTTGTAAGTAAATGGGACATACTTTATGGAAATCATGAAACTGCATCACATGGCAAGCGCCAACATGGTATCATGGTGGGAAGAGGAAGGCCAAAGAACATATTGAGTGCCGAATCGGAAGCAGATCAAAAGCATGAATAACAACTAGAAAGAATTGTTGAGGACAGAGTTGAACGGAAAATGCCAGTGGGTGGCCTATGCTTCTATACGTGAGGTAACAGGCATAGTTAACTATGTAATTAAACAATCAAATACTGTTTTTTTCTACGTAGTTATCTACGTTTTTTGTACTAAATATATCGAGAACATCAAGCAAATTGAAGTCACGCGCTATGCAAACCTCTGGAATAGATTACCAGTAGACATCCGGTCAAGCCAAACGCTTATTCAATTTAAATCCTTCCTAAACCGATTTATGGACCGATTCCCACATGTTCGACGGAGATCACCTAAACCAACCTATATTTGACAATGGTCCATCCAACATCTAACCGACTGACATTTGATAGCCATGTCACAAACTGAGATTATTTGACGCCAAATGGCCTCTGAAACTTGACGTTTGACATGTTGCAGGCCAAACAGTGCTTTATTCGTTTTCTATTGTTGTATGCTCCGTATCCCCTCTTTATAACTAATAAGTAACTGCGTTTCTTGGATTTTCTTTTCATCTCCATAACCATTTATGGTGTTGTACACATTGGGCCCTAGAAATACCTTGAACCACGATCCAATAAAACTTGATGAAACTAGAGACTGCTCAGGCGAAAAATCGAAAACTATCTAATCATAAGAAGCTCAGAAACTATCCTAAATTATTGTGAGTTCCTTCTAGTTCATATTTTACCAATATGAAATATTTTTTTCATCACTAGCGTCCAAACAATGTTTTTTTTATCCTGCTTACTCATCGTCCTACTCATATATCTTATAACCTTAGACTTCTCTTTCATATTCTCCGGCCAGCTATTTGTCCTTATCATCTCTAAACCACATATAATATGACCGGTATCTTATAACCTATACCACTAGTTTCCTTCATAGCAATGCGATACAGTAAACAGATATTCAACCCACAATGCAAAAGTTTTAGCTGTCTGATCTGCCTGTAACATGGAACTTGTAGTGACATTGTATTCCAACAAGGTGTGCAATATAGGGCTCATATTAAAACAATATCCATACATGACACAAACGTAGGCGAGTCTAACATCACAAGGGGGGAAGGTGACGTTACTGACCAGCAAACATAATAGGGAGGAGACAACTTCAATCCACTAATGTCTGTAGGGCAGAACTTTGTGCTAAGTTACTGCTCCTTACTGTCAAGTTGGATGTCACTAACCAATTGTATTGGTGCTAATTTCTTGTGCCAATCACATCTTTGGCTCATGTCTGTAAACCTGAATTGGTTTTACTTCCTTCAGAGAAACCCTATTGCAAGCAAGACTGGACAATTACGCTAAACATGAGTTCACTCATCACTCCAAAAACATAACAATAAAAACGAGTTATAATAATTTTGACGAAAAAGAGCCAGTTGACATTCGAACACTTTACCATCCCCACCAAATTTTAAAAACACATAACTCCATTTGTACACTGCTTTATTCATTCAACTCCATACTGTGCCTTGTTTTCCTAACCTAATGAAATACATTTGCCTAGAAACTGATTTGGTAAAGGAGAATAAGTCTAAGTAGTCATACTCTAATTGTCCCACCACAAGTGACTAAACTTCAGTAGTCATGAACACTGTCCGTCCTGCTTCTCGTCCTTCCCTTTTTCTCTCTTTTTCAGCACCCTCATGGTATACCTCCGAAAGCATGTGGAACATAAAACTTTGTCCTGAGACGTCACTTATACTTGAGGAATTTGTCCGTGATCACTATCGAGGATCACAAACTAATACGCTCAATTTGACGTCTTCGATTGACTGTTCTGGACTTTAATTCCATTCATTCTCGACCATCAATTGCTTATCGCAATGCAGCTCTCATAAGGCGCGCCACCTCTTATGTTGAACATAAGATTCCCACTGATATTAATATTCTAATGTATGAAAATTTATTTTCTGTTTATATTGCACATGTGCCTTACAACATGTCAACATAATTCAATAACTTAATAAAGTGAAGCCTGTAGCGCTGGTAACAGCTTGATCATGAGTGTATACTGGAATGCCTCATGTAACATATTGTTATCTTAGAATATATTATGATTACTGTATTATTTTTTCGGGAGGGTCTAACCATATTGCACTCTAGCGACAACAGCCGCTATGGGTTTTTCCTAATACGCATTAGGAACGTACGTTATCATACCCTTGTCTGCTCCACTAGAAACTGTTAGGTATTGTTCAGGGGCTTATATACAAATTCGATACTTCTCCATTGTTTATTTTTTCGGCATCACACTCTCAGTCCATAGCTAGGAGCCGCTTACGTCCTAAACAAATTTCACGTACGTATCCTTCAAGGTCACGACTCATACTGAGCGCCCCTCACATATACTTTCTGACGGCTACAAACTTTTTAAAAAGTGACTTGGTGTGCAACATAAAAACTATGTCATTTCTGAAAATGACTGTAAAAACTGCACTCATAGTGAGATACTAGGGCATAAACCTAAGAACGTCATAGTAAGTCTTGTCTTCGAAACAGAAACGAAGTAAACCTGAGAGCTACTGAACCGTTACCCCGACTAGTGTGGTTGTTAACATTTTAGACAAGATTATTCGGAAGCAGTTGTTTAAGGACCTCTATGAAAACAGGATTCTTTTGGAAAAGCAGTATGGTTTTAGAATATACTATTCCTGTCTCACTAAATTATTAGTGGTTCGTCAAAGCTGGTGCTGTCTTAAAAAACATGAGTTGCTCATAGATGTAGCCTACATTGACTTCAGAAATGCTTTTGACAAAGTCCCTTACAATATACTGTTACATAATTTGGGAAATGCCGGAGTTTGTGGCAATTAGTTAATGCGGATAAAAGACTTCCTAATTGAGCGCCAACAAAGAGTATGGGTGAACTCCAAGTTGTCTAACTGGGAAACTGGGCTTAGTGGACTGCCTCAAGGTACAGTTTTGGGGTCAGTGTTATTCCTGTTATGTGTAAATGACCTTCCTCGTTTCCTGTCATCATCGGACTTGCTATATGCTGACGATGTTAAGATATGGAGAGCGATAAGAAATAAGAGTGATAGCATAGAACTTCAAAATAACCTGGGGAAACCATCTGAATAATCTCAAACTTCCAAGTGTGCTGTGATGCATATCGGTTATCAAGGTACAGATACATATATGATGAACAACATTGAGCTACCCGTTGTCCAGACACACAATAACTTAGAAGTCATTGTTAGCCAAGACTTAAACAATAATAAACACTGTCGTGCAATAGCCAACAAAAGTTTTAGAACCCTACGGTCAATAAGTATGGCCTTTATTCATGTCGACGTTAAAACTTTTTCTACTTTGTACATAGTAATCGTGCGTGTGCGGAGTAGTGTAACGTCGTATACTATGTTACACCTACATAGTTTATTCTAGTTTCTGGACAAGCCAATTCACCTATAATGTCATGAGTCATATTTGGATCTTGTTAATCATTTGCTTATTAACCTTGACTTCACTTTTATATGGGCATATATGTGTACACTTCGTATCTTATTCATCCTATATCTGTCACTCATTTTTGTCCGACTATAAATGTTGATTAACGTTT